GCCTTCCTACTGTTTCGAACGTCACTGATGAGTCTTATGTAAACGAAAGCCGCTTCTGACATGCGAAATATATAAACCTAGCTGGTATCTTTGATGAGTTTTTACAATCACTGGATCGACGCCCCTGCTGGTGGACGCTTCGTCCGATCGGGTACGTCTAGCCAAGAAGTCAGCACTTTTGTTTTTCTGTAAGTTTATTGTTTATAAATGTTGATTTATTTGGAGCACTTAGGATTTTCTACCTCCAGATATAGATTGCCTTAGCCTTTTTTTTTGCAACTATTGTGAACTTTCGATTTTGTAATGCTCTTTAACTTCGTATAAGATTTGGCCTACCAACTGTTTTGATTCAAGTGCCACTAATGAGTCTTATGTAGACGACACGTATAACTTGCGTACCAAATTATAAACCTGATATCTTTGATTTGTTTATATCAACCATGAACTAGGTCGATGCCACTGATGGTAGACGTTTCTCGCGGGTATCACCAGCCCAGTAGTCAGCACTTTTGTGTTGGCATGGAATATTATTGAATGTTCATTTTACTGCAAATTTACTGCTTACAAAATGTTGAATTATTGAAAAAAAACGACATGTTTATACTCAAGATATAGCTTGCTTAAATCTTATATGGAAAAACATTTTTGAATTTTTGTTTTTTTATTCACCGATGCTGGATCTATGTGATCATTCCGGATTTGGAGATGGTGCAAAATTCTAAGTTGAAGATATATAGCATGAAAATAAGTATGTGTTTCTCTGACTTGCAGAAACTTTATACACAAGTTTAATCATCAACTGCCAACTTTTAATATGTTATTTGTCCTTAAATAAAGAAAAGGTTGGGCGAACAACTTTTTTTTTATTATAGATATACACTTGCATATAGTTCCTTTGTAAATTAAAATTTATATTTAATTGTCATTTATTATTTAACGTGAAAAAGGGAATTTTTTATATGTAAGCAGTTGATAAGAATTATGAAAGTGTTTTCTCAGTATCTTACGTTCGTGCAAACCATTTAATAAAATGTGGTTCAAGATGTGTAATTGATATACATTTCCCAACTCATTCGGTATTCAAGAGCTTGCATGTGGAGCAGGATCTGCTTACCCTTCCGGAGCACCTGAGATCACCCCCAGTCTTTGGTGGGGTTCGTGTTGCTGTTGTACCCCTATTTGTGACAATTTTACCTATTGTGTCTGTTTGTTTTGTTCACACATCGTTGTCAATATAATTGAATTTGATGCGACTGTCATACAAGTGAGAGGTTTAGCTAGCTTTAAAACCAGGTTTAATCCACCATTTTCTACATAAGAAAATGCCTGTACCAAGTCAGGAATATGACAGTTGTTATCCATTCGTTTGATGTGTTTGAGCTTTTGATTTTGCCATTTGATTATTGACTTTCCTTTTTGAATTTTCCACGGAGTTCAGTATTTTTGTGATTTTACTTTTTGCAGCTGCTACTCAGACTTTGTAAAACGTCACCAGTGTCTGAGCAGAAAGTTGATGAACCAGGGGTATGTCAAAGAACGTCTCGTCTAAAAAAAGTTCATCGGAAGATACCAAGACCTTGTTGATAAATATTCCGTATCAACTTCACAAATAGTCTTGAGGTATAGATTCTAGGTACTGACGTTGTTTATCATCTTAATAACATGTTAAAGTATTCTTTTTTTGTCTTAGTAAATAATTACTTTCATTGTTTAGTCTATTTTTGGTAATATCTATTTGACGTGGCTCGGTACTTATACATCCCGTCATTGTGTTATTACGCTATGGTAAATTTTTGTATTCTTGTCTTTCGTTTTCATTTATGTGCTTTGTCTATATGCGTTTTTGTTTTTCTTTTTTGATATATTTGTTTGTTTTCCTAGTGATTAGGATTATAACACAATGTTGACTGCTGTACCCCTTTTTTTGACATTTTTACATATCATGTTTGTTTTGTTCACACATCGTTCACACATCGTTGTCAATATAATGGAAATTTATGCGACTGTCATACAAGTGAGACGTTTAGCTAGCTATAAAACCAGGTTTAATCCACCATTTTCTACATGAGAAAATGCCTGTTCTAAGTCAGGAATATGACAGTTGTTATCCATTCGTTTGATGTGTTTGAGCTTTTGATTTTGCCATTTGATTATGGACTTTCCGTTTTGAATTTTCATTGTAGTTCGGTATTTTTTGTAATTTACTTTTCGATATCAGAGTTGATTCCCACATTCTTTCATTACGCAAATAAGAGTATTGATACAATACCAGTATGATTATCAACTGTCATGATTTTCAAAAAATTACACTCAAATGTGTATGTATTAGTTGGAATCAACTCCATTCTAATGCAGTCTTAATTGACCACAAGTAATACATCATGACAGTTGATAATCAAGAATTTATGTATTCAATTTATTACACATCTAACTAAATACACAAAATTTTGACATGAATAGTGTACCTATTATTTATTTTGATGAGATGTTTTTTTTTCAAAGGAAGGACTAAAAATAGAACATGTATAAAAATGTTTCACTTGAAAAATCATTGTCATAATCATCTGACATAAGTTAATAATTAAGGTCTTTTTAAGTTACAATTATCAGTAATTTGGTTGAAACAATAAACAAAATTGCATAACTCTAACCTGAGCATTTTATGCAATAAAATTTATTTGTACATTTCCCATTATATTGCTATTTGACTTTATTAATAATCTTTATTGTCATATAAACAAATGAAACATGTCTGTGACAAAAACATACATATATATATATATCAATGCAATATAAATTGAACATGAATCATTAATCATTAATGCAGTCAAGAAATATATATATATACATAAAAAAAAACATGAAAAATTAAGCTGCTTCTGTCCTCTGTTCGAATGACTGTTTAAAAAAAAACCCGATTAGTTTCACATGTTCTGTAGATATAAGGTTTAATAGTTTAATAATTGTTTGGTCTTTTGGAAGTGACATAAATTCGTCTGCCTATTTTAATTTTTTAAACAGACCCAATCTTAATTTATGATTTATTCTACACTCCAAGAGGAAATTTTCCTCGTTTTCAAGAACATTGCATAGTTTGCAAAGTCTATCTTCTCGAGGGATTTTTAAATATCTACCCTTTTCAATTTCGATATTGTGGTCACTTATGCGGATTTGGTGAAACACTTTCTTATAATAAAATCGTTGTACCATAAGTAAAATTATTTATCTTGGCTAAGTTTAATGTTTTTTGTATAAAATAACTTACTTTTTTCTTCATAACTATTAAATTTATTTTTAATTAGAATTTTATATTTGTCCTCTATTTCTTTCTTGATAAGAATCTTGAGAATTTTAACTTTTAAATTTTACAATATTCTCTTCTAATTAAGATTTCGCTACCGGGTACAATATTCTTGACATATGTATACCAAGAATATGTACCGTTGTTGTCAAGTGATTTTGACAACACAAAAGCCTCTTTTAGAAGGGGTATTTGTTTTCAGTGTAAAGTCTTGCTGGATAAATCAAACATTGAATTGGGATGAAATGTTCTACTGGCAATCTTCCCAATTCAGATCGTGCCTCGACATTTGAAGCAGACTTTTTTATTCCCAATATAAATTTACAAAAGTTTAAATGAATTTTTTTCAAGAGGGAGTTTTGTCTATAAAGGCAACAGTAGTATACTGCTGTTCGAAAAATCATAAATCGATAGAGATAAAAACAAATCCGGGTTACAAACTAAAACTGAGGGAAACGCATCAAATTTAAATAGGATGAATCCAAACTTTTCCCACTTTTTCAGCTCGAATTTTAGCCCTATGATAGGTCAAATAACTGTCCATAATGATATTTCTGAGTTGTAAGTCAACAATGGGCGTACTAATTTGTCAAAAAGATTATTTGACACATGTATAAGAAGATTTCCCAGGGAAGAAGATTTAGCTTTTATAGAAAACAAGATTTTTTGGTCTTTCTAGCAAGATCCTCTAAATTATGATTCAGGTTACCATTACTTTTAAGTAGCGAACCTAAAAACTTGTATTCAGTAACATTTTGTAAAAAATTATTCTTATAATTAATAAATGATTCCACATTACTATTACTGTAATGTTGAATAACCATACTTTTTAGTATTGAGAGTGAGCTTCCAGTTATCACAAAAACACTTAGGTTATTTACACTATTTTGAAGACCTTCTTTATTCTCCGAAAGTAAAATTCAATCATCAGCAAATAAATCAACTAATTTAGGTGGCTTGGAGTCTTCATTTGTAGTGACTTACACTAAATCATTAATAGAAATATTGAAAAGAGTGCCCTGAATGTTTCAAAGGAGCTTGAACAAAGATTATTCAGTTTCAGAGCTGTTTAACAGTAATTGGAAATATCACAGCAGTAGGTATTTGTATATGTATAACTGAATACAGGAAACGTATTTTTTCTTAATGAAGACCAATTTAAATAAAAATCAGTTATTTATTTGTGTTGTTGTTAAGAAAGGGCATTTTCAATGTCTTTTTCTCGAAATTTTTAAGCCATTTATTTTTTAAATGGCATATAAAAAATATGCTACACGTTTGAAGATTTCCCTTAACATTCTTATCAAAATCATTGAATTGCAAATGTTTCTAAAAAAAAGAAGACGTAATAAAAATCTAACAGTGGCTTCAATTGAAATGCCAAAATAACTTGCATCAATATTACAAAATTCTCTACCTTTGGGCAATAGAATAGAAATTTTACAGTGAGATTATGGAAATGAAAATACCAAAAGAAACATTGAAAGTATAGTCAGACAAAATGTCAGACTAGCTACCAAATTGGCTGGGTCACAAGATCCACGATGCTTTGATTTATGCTCTTTAACTTAGCATTTGATTTTGCCTTCCAACTGTTTTGATTCAAGTATAACTGATGAGTCTTACGAAACACACGTCTGGGATATCAAATCATAAACCTGGTATTTTTGATGATTTTTTATGGAACACAAATAATATATTAAAATATAAATATATAATTTATTCAAATAAAACTTTGGTCACATTTCTGTCCAAAGATCACAGATTTAATCGTTGTCCCAACAATATTTTTCATTGTAGATATGGCAGCAGGTAAGATTCTTTGCATTGTAGACGATAAAAGGGAAGCATCTGTAAATTACAAGAAACAAATATATACTTGAATCTTTTAAATTAATTTCCAATTTTTAGTAAAATTTTAAGAGTAAAAGCAATTTTTTCATGAGTAGACTGAATATGTATAATTTTGGATTATCATTTAGGGACCCTATCATCCTAAAAAGATATATTGTTATATGTATTGACAATTGTGTACCAATGAAGCATTTAGATAAATGTTTCTTCTGTGTTCTTTCTTGCAAGCGGTCAATTCTATATCATAACATCGACAGCAGTGTAAAAGATATTGTGTACACAACAGTGAAAGAATAGCCTATAAGTACATTGAGTGATGGTTTTTGAAATTTAGTAAGAGGTAAAATAATAAAATAATATTAAAAAAAAAGAACAGAGTTCCAATGTCCCACCCTTATTGCACATATTTTAGATGTCCAAAGGCAATAACATAAAAAATGTTTTTTTATTTTGTTCTTTAAAATTTCATAAATATTTTAAAAGAAATGAAGTCTCTACAGTAAATTTAATGTAATTTCCAATATAATTAATATTTTCAATGGGAATAACTCTTTTAAAAATATTTGATCGGTACTGATTTTTGAACTTGTTCAATCTGGCAAAAATGTACACATGAGAGAGCTAACAATCCAATTTTCTATAAAATTAATATTGTAAAGGGGCATAACTCTTTTAAAAACAATTAATTGGCACTGATTTTAGAACTTGTCTGAGACATTGCTAATATAAAGCTATGATATATGTCTGGTACAAATTGTACACTTGAGAGCGCTAACAATGCAATTTTCAATATAACTAATATTTCTTTGGGAAATTACTCTATTAAAAAATGATGATCCCAACTGATTTTCGAACTTGTCCGAGACATTGCTAATATAAAGCTATGATATAAGTTTCATAAAAATCTGGCAATAATTGTACACGTGAGAGCCCTAAAAAGACTTGGGGGACAGACACATGCACGGACCCGCGGTATTACTATGTACCCTGCAAGGCGTTGCACGTGGGATAATAAACTTCAATCAGATAAATTTGACATGGTGAATAAATAAATTAATAAAACAAATGCATCAAATTATAAATATCTATGTTTAAAATATTGTTTATAATGATCAAGGTGTGCAGATGGCAACTAATGTGAAAAAGTGGGAGAAGTTTACCAAATTAGCACAAGATAATAAAATCAAATCAAAATTCACAAAGGGTATTTTGATGAAACAGTTCTATTTGTCTTCTAACTTGGCTTCCGGATTATTAAATAAAATTCGTCAAACAGTAGCATGAATATACAATAAGTTATAAAAACAGAAATATTTAATATCAAAATTTTTAACTATTTGTACTTATATTCACTTGAAATATCATTTTGGCCTTTTTAACTTTATTTGATTCGAGCGTCACTGATAAGTCTTTTGTAGACGAAACGCGCGTCTGGTGCAAATACAAAATTTCAATCCTGGTATCTATGATGAGTTTATTTTCAATCATATAGATGAAATATCTAGTTTTAAATTCGACTAAATGACAAATACTTTAATTATATCAATTCAATATCACATTTTCACACTTTTAGTCATCCTCCCGTCACCACAACATACTTTTTGCAACTGAACCCCTTTAGATATCCCTAGTTCGTATTTAGGTTTGAGTTTCGTGTCTTATTTTCATTCTTTTCTTATGGATTCCTTGTCAATTGAAATAGTACTTAAGAGATCAAATATGTAAAATATGTTATTGACAACAGAGACGGCAATTCTCATAATTGTTCTTTATTTTGGACATTATTAATAATAGTGATTAGTATTGTCATTTGGAGAATTAATTTTGATGCCTCCTTAATCATACTTGCTCTAATAATTATTTGTAGTTTTCAGTTACCTTGTGTGTTTGTAGCAGGTCCATCCATTGATTCATACCCATTGTTTGGCAGTAGAGCACTATAATCATTTACTCTATGTATTCCTATGGACTCGGTGTTGGAACCATTTGTATCTTTATGGTCACTTAAAACGGATTGCAAGTCCAGACCCTGATCATATCCAAAATCGTGCTGAGAATTTGAATGTCCTCCTTTTGGACACCTAGATCTTTTCGTATGATAAGGTTGCTGTGAATAGACTTGACTATTCGTAGTCTCAGTTTGAACTGAATCAGTGCTAACCTGTAACATATGCAAAAAGAAAATACATTTACTTATTTAGCATGTTAACATATATTTAATCCTTCTAAAAGAAGTTCCTGTGGAAACATCGTTCTAAACAATGCTATTACATATACATCTGTTCCTGTTGGAAGAAATATTTTCTACACTTTATTCTAGCAGAAACATATACTGTAAAATTTCATCCAGTGGATTAATCTTACAAAGTTATTTCGTCCATTTTGAACTAATATTATAAAACAACATCTATTTCACGACAGTGGTAGTACAGGAGATGGAAGGGTGGACCTGTGTTTTCATAAGCAAGGGCTCCAGCTGCTTCCATAACATTGGTAGAACAGGAGATGGATGGATGGACATGTGTTTTCATGGGCTGGGGGTTCAGCTGCTTCCATGACATTGGTAAAACAGGAGATGGATGGGTGGACATGTGTTTTCACAAGCAAGGGCTTCAGCTGCTTCCATGACATTGCAAGAACAGGAGATGGGATGGGTGGACATGTGTTTTCACAAGCAGGTGATTCAGCTGCTTCTATGACATTGGTAGAACAGGAGATGTAAGGGTGGACATGTGTTTTCACAATCAGGGGCTTCAGCTGCTTCCATGACATTGATAGAACAGGAGGGGGATGGGTGGACATATGCTTTCACAAGCATGGGCTTAAGCTGCTTCCATGACATTGGTAGAACAGGAGAAGGAATGATGGACATGTGTTTTCACAAGCAAGGGCTTCAGCTGCTTCCATGACATTGGTAGAACAGGAAAAGGAAGGGTAGACATGTGTTTTCACAAGCAGGGGCTTCAGCTGCTTCCATAACATTAGTAGAACAGGAAAAGGATGGGTGGACATGTGTTTTCACAATCAGGGGCTTCAGCTGCTTCCATGGCATTGATAGAAAAGGAGGTGGATGGGTGGACATATGTTTTCACAAGCATAGGCTTAAGCTGCATCCATGACATTGGTAGAACAGGAGAAGGAATGGTGGACATGTGTTTTCACAAGCAGGGGCTTCAGTTGCTTCCATGACATTGGTAAAACATGAGATGGATGGATGGACATGTGTTTTCGCAGGCAGGGTCTACAGCTGCTTCCATGACATTGGTAGAACATGAAAAGGAAGGGTGGACATGTGTTTTTACAAGCAGGGGCTTCAGCTGCTTCCATGACATAGGTAGAACAGGAGATGGATAAGTGGACATGTGTTTTGACAAGCAGGGGCTCCAGCTGCTTCCTTGACATTGGTAGAACAGGAGATAGAAGGGTGGACATGTGTTTCACAAACAGGGTTTTCAGCTGCGTCCATGACATTGATAAAATAAGAGATGGATCGTTGGACATGTGTTTTCACAGGCTGGGGCTTCAGCTGCTTCCATGACATTGGTAGAACAGGAGATGGATATGTGGACATGTGTTTTCACAAGCAAGGGCTTCAGTTGCTTCCATGACATTGCAAAAACAGGAGATGGAAGTGTGGACATGTGTTTTCACAAGCAGGGGCTTCAGTTGCTTCCATGACATTGGTAAAACATGAGATGGATGGATGGACATGTGTTTTCACAGGCAGGGTCTACAGCTGCTTCCATGACATTGGTAGAACAGGAAAAGGAAGGGTGGACATGTGTTTTTAAAAACAGGGGCTTCAGCTGCTTCCATGACATTGGTAGAACAGGAGATGAATAGGTGGACATGTGTTTTGATAAGCAGGGGCTCCAGCTGCTTCCTTGACATTGGTAGAACAGGAGATGGAAGGGGGGACATGTGTTTTTACAAACAGGGTTTTCAGCTGCGTTCATGACATTGATGGTTGGACATGTGTTTTCACAGACAGGGGCTGCTTCCATGACCTTGGTAGAACAGGAGATGGATGGGTGGACATGTGTTTTCACAAGCAGGGGCTTCAGCTGCTTCCTTGACATTGATAAAATAGGAGATGGATGGTTGGACATGTGTTTTCACAGGCATGGGCTTCAGCTGTTTCCATGGCATTGGTATAACAGAAGATGGAGAGGTGGACATTTGTTTTCAAAAGCAAAGTCATCAGCTGCTTCCATGGCATTGTTAGAACAGGAGATGGAAGGATGGACATATGTTTATGTGAGCCAAAATTTGTTCCTGTGAAAAAAGTTCCAGTGGAATAAATATCACAGAAAATATGTTCTGGGAGGACTTTTTTCACAGATAATTTCTAAATAATTTGGTCCATCTCTATAAAATAGGTTCCACACTTAACCAGGTGAAATAAGTTCTGGGTTTGTGAAATTTGTTCCCTACCTGGTGAAATAAGTTCCTGATTTGTGAGATTTGTTCCTTACCTGGTAAAATAAGTTCCGGGTATGTGAGATTTGTGCCTTACCTGGTGAATTAAGTTCCTTGTCTGTGAAATATGTTCCACTGGTTATACACGTTATCTTAAATACTGAACATTTGTCATCAGTGAGCTTAAAGTTATCATTCAAGTACATTAGAAAAGCATGTACATGTATTAATTGATAATGTAATAAATAAAAAGTGTAAACATGCAATATGGATCATGTGGAGTATACAAATGTTTAATTATATACTCGATAAAAAATATCTAAATGACACTAATGAGCCAGAAAAGATAAGAATAAGAAAAATCACTCAGAAAAAAATATAATTAAAGATGAACAGTTGTACTAAGTTGAAAAGGACAGAGTGGCTGATCAATTACATTCAAAGACACGTAGAAACAAAAGACAAACTCAAGAGTATTTTGAAAATGTGCCATAACCTTAGTATGACTAGAACACCCATGACAGTTATCAGGAAACAATGAGGAAACCCACATAAAGCATACACAAATACAAATTATGATACATTACCATTGCCTTTATTTCTATTCTTCATCCTAGAGTTTCAGTCATGCATTCAATTGCAAATTTACCCCATGCAAGCACAGTACAGCATCCAGCTTGCATTATCGGAAAGAATTCCATAGTTTTAACAAGCAGAGGATACCCAGCTACTTCATAACATGTCATCCTATAATGATTGTCTATTAACCATAACCACTGAAATTTCACGGTTTCCATTTATCATGAACGAGAAATATAAGAATACAAGTTGCCATGAACCACGAACATTGGAACCCTAGAAGAAAGTGCCCATAAAACAAAAAGATAAGAATCTTAACCATATGTTGTCATCAATTACACCCACAGGAATCCTAGAATAAAGTTTTCATGAACCACAACCACAAGAATCCTAGGACAAAGTTTCTATCAACTGCAACCACAGGAATCATAAAACAGAGGTTTAAATCGACCACAAACATTGGAATGCTAGAATAAAAATGTTCATGAATCACAAACACAAAATCCTAGGACAAAGTTTCCATCAGCTGCAACCATATGCATACTTAAATAAAGCTTTTAATTGACCAGGAACTCAGGAATCCTAGAACAAATAACTAAGTGAACAACAACCACATGAATCCTAGAACACCAAAAATACTAGAACAAAAGTGCCTATCAAAAAGTAAATTAACAAAAATACCGAACTCCGAGGAAAATTCAAAACGGAAAGTCCCTAATGAAATGGCAAAATCAAAAGATCAAACACTTCACGAATGGATAACTAAGTGTTATATTCCTTGGTACAGGCATTTTCTTATGTAGAAAATGGTGGATTAAACCACAACCACAGTAATCCTAGAACAGATTGCCTATCAACCACAGACACAGGAATACTCGAACAAAAGAATCTATGAACAACAACCACAGGAATTCTAGAACAAAAGAGCCTATCACGCGTCGTCAGTAAACTTGTTTTGCGACCATCAAATCACCAACTGATGCTGTTGGAGCTTAAAATACAATACATTCATATAAATAAAAGATTTCATAAAAACAACCACAGGAATCCTAAAACTAAAGTTTCTACAAACAACAAACACAGAGATTCTAGAACAAAAGATTTCATGAAAACAACTGCAAATAACCTCGAACAAAAGTTTCCATGAATCACAACCGCAGGAATCCTACAATTGAGAATGGAACATTTTATTTGAACCACAAACAAAGGAATCTTAGAACGAAGGTTTTCATGAACCACAAAAACAGGAATCTTAGATTCTAATGCAACATCGTTTGTAAAGTTCAATTTGATTTGATACCGTCACCAATTTTCAGGGCATCAATTCATAATTGATGCTATGAAATTATAGGTGCTAGCGCAGACGACGTATGACAGATTTTAGGTGTATGGTTTGAAGTTGTTTTCTGTCAGTTTCATTAGAATGGATATAACAATATTACATTTTAAGCTCCGACAGCATCAATTGGTGATTTGATGGTCGCAAATACCCGTTTGCTGACGCGTCGCCAGTAAACTTATTTTGCGACCATCAAATTACCAACTGATGCTGTTGAAGCTTAAAATACAATACATTCATATAAATAAAAGATTTGATAAAAACAACCACAGGAATCCTAAAACTAAAGTTTCTACAAACAACAAACACAGAGATTCTAGAACAAAAGATTTCATGAAAACAACTGCAAATATCCTCGAACAAAAGTTTCCATGAATCACAACCGCAGGAATCCTAAAATTGAGAATGGAACATTTTATTTGAACCACAAACAAAGGAATCTTAGAACGAAAGTTTTCATGAACCACAAAAACAGGAATCTTAGATTCTAATGCAACATCGTTTGTAAAGTTCAATTTGATTTGATACCGTCACCAATTTTCAGGGCATCAATTCATAATTGATGCTATGAAATTATAGGTGCTAGCGCAGACGACGTATGACAGATTTAAGGTGTATGGTTTAAAGTTGTTTTCTGTCAGTTTCATTAGAATGGATATAACAATATTACATTTTAAGCTCCGACAGCATCAATTGGTGATTTGATGGTCGCAAATACCCGTTTGCTGACGCGTCGCCAATAAACTTATTTTGCGACCATCAAATCACCAACTGATGCTGTTGGAGCTTAAAATACAATACATTCATCTAAATAAAAGATTTCATTAAAACAACCACAGGAATCCTAAAACAAAAGTTTCTACAAACAACAAACCCAGAGATTCTAGAACAAAAGATTTCATGAAAACAACTGCAAATATCCTCGAACAAAAGTTTCCATGAATCACAACCGCAGGAATCCTAAAATTGAGAATGGAACATTTTATTTGAACCACAAACAAATGAATCTTAGAACGAAAGTTTTCATGAACCACAAACACAGGAATCCTAGTACAAAAGTTTCCATGACCCTCACACAAAAAAAAATCCTAGCACAAAACTTTCCATGACCTATGCACAAAAAAATTCTAGCACAAAAGTTGTCATGACCCACAAACACAGGAATCATAAAAGTTTCCATAAACCACAAACACAGGAATCCTAGAATAAAAGTACTTTTAACATGTTAAGGTATGCATGTACCTTAGTATAAGTGAAAAAATTCTACTTTATATACTATTTTTAGTTTGCTTCCTTAAATTCATACAGCATATCCAACTATCAATTTTGTTAATTCTTTATAAAAAGAGTTTAAACAGAAATAACAAACATGAAATTCCATAAAACCTAACAAAATCATATGCTCAACTACAATAACCAACAGAATAAAAGAACAGAGTTCCAATGTCCCCCTCGTTGCACATATTTATCTACACAATAACTAAATAAAACACTTATTTTGTTCTTAAATCAATTTATAAATATCTTAGAGAATGAAGGCTTCAGAGCGAATGCAATGCGATGTTCGTTATAATTTATTTTTCCAAGGGAAATAACTCGTTAAAGATATTTGATCAGCACTGATTTTCGAAAGTGTCAAAAACAATGTTGATATACACCTATGATAAGAATTGTACACACGAGAGCGCTAACAACGCAATTTTCTAAATAATCAATATATGCAAGGGACTAACTATCTTACGAATAATTGATCTGCACTGATTTTTAAATTTGTCTTAGACATAGATAATATGAACCTGATATATAAATTTCATAAACATCTGGCAAGAATTGTACACACGAGAGTGCTTACAATGCAATTTCTCATATAATCAATATTTCCAAGGGGCAAAACTCTTTAAAAAACAGTACTCTGCACTGATTTTCGAACTCGTCAAAAACCTTGATAATATAAACCTATCATATAAATTTCATAAAAATCTGGCAAGAATTATACACATAAAAGCGCTCATCTGACAATTTTTCATATAATTAATATTTCCAAGGGCCATAACTCTTTTAAAATTAATTGATCGGCACTGTTTTTCGAACTCGTCCAAGACATTGCTAATATAAACCTATGATAAAAGTTTCATAAAAATCTGGCAAAAAAAATGTACACATGAGAGCGCTAATAATGCAATTTTTCATATAATTAATGTTTCGAAGGGGCATAACTCTTTAAAAAATAGTTGATCGTCACTGATTTTCAAACTCGTCTAAAACATTGCTAAAATAGACATATGATATAAGAGTCATAAAAATCTGTGTGAGCGCTAACAAGACCGGACGGACAGACGGACGCTCGGTATTTCTATGTCCCCAGCAACGCGTTCGCGGGGAACAAAAAATGAAAAGTGTCATATTGCTGACTTTGTACAGGCATTTTTAGAAGAAAATGGTGGCCGAGTTTTGTTTTTTAAAGAGTTTTGCCCCTTGGAAATATTGATTATATGAGAAATTGCATTGTAAGCACTCTCGTGGGTACAATCCTGGTTTTATAGCTAGCAAACCTTCCATGAACTAAATGATGGGAGACAATTATTTTTTCACAAAAAATATGTGCACCAATACATTGATACCTGATTATCTGTGGAGTTACTGATACTTTGACCACTGTAAACAGGTTCCACATCATTTCTGTTTAAACTACTGGAAGGATAATCTTCATCCTCTGTGTCTCTGCCAACTATTTCCTGAAAAATAAATATTCAAACAAGTTCTTACTAAAAGTTTTCTCTCTCGGATAATATAATAAAGTTTATAGTATGCAGTAAGGCTGTAAATAATGTTTGTTTTTTTTCAAATTTATTTCCCAAATTGTTACAGTTATTTTTCGCTTTCTGTTTTACTTCCTATTTTATTTTATGACATCTTACTTTTAATCTGGATAAACTTCTAAGGTAAATTATACCTTTAAATTTGTATCTGAAGAATTTTGTGAATTAATCGAAGGTGCTGCACCATCAGGAGGCTCTCTATTACCAGAAGTCTGCATCGTAGGACTTTTAGATGCTGCTGTGTTTGAATCCAACCCATGTGTACTATTTCTTTGATATATAACCGAGCTGTAGTTGGATTGCATCTCAGCAAGATTGTGTTGATTGCCTGCACCCGATTGTTGATTTAAAGGATTTCCATTATCAGATCTATTTGTTGTATACTGATTCACTGATTGTAAAGTGCTGTTAATTTCCGATGGTTCGTTGGTTTCTCCATCTGTTTCAATGCCACTGATTGCTGTCATAAACAAAAGTTAATTTGATTTCGTGCAAACAATTAATCATATAAAAATACAATGACAAGGTAACAACAACAGATCACCTAACTGTCTTCAACATGAGCAAAATCATAGTAAGCTAATAAAGGCACCGGCTAATAAAGGCACCAGGATCCAAAAAGGTTGAACAATTCAAACAAGAATATCAACAGCCTGGTAAATAAATACATAATGCACACATAACTGATAAATGAATACATCCGAGAAGAATAATGACCTATATTAAGTATTGGTTACTAACAAGTCTGCTCTACGTTTAAATGCATGGTAAAGAAATTTACAAAGGTTACATATGTCTGTTATCTTTTCTATGCTTAACACTGTACAAGCGTAAATGGCGATGGACGCCTATAATAATATGGCTTAATGTACGGTCTCCTTATTGCATTATAACAATTACATGTTTGAAATGAAACTCGTCTTCAATTGTATTTAAAGTACAGAGAGTGCATTTTCTTTCTGATCTTTTAACACTGTGGTATCGGCCTGTTTCAACAAATAAATTATGTGAAGACAATCTTATTCTCGTTTAGGTACACTCTAAAATTCACATGTCTAGTAAGGTAAAATTGTAAACAAACATTATTTACACAGTATTTATACCAAAAAAAAACCCACTTTGGCGAGTGTCATTTACAACTAAGTTATCTTGGTTATACCAGAAGTCATTCAGACCCAAATTAAACAATAAATACTTCAGCTGATGAATCCAACTATTCCTTGGAAAAAGTTTAAACCAGTATGTTATAATATTATTCAATCTAAGATATATCAAAGGATATCTACCAAGCTCATAATACACCATTACATTCGTGGTACATTGTTTGACACCCAAAATATTTTTGCAAAAATCTAACTGAACTTTTTCAATATTCTAAGCTTTATGAAAGCCCCATATCTCACTGCCATAGCATGAAATACTACTTATATACGTATCAAACAAATTCAAGTATGTGAAAACATTCAAATATAAGAATGATACTATTGATTTCAAGGCAAATACCGCTTTCCTACCTTGCTCAGCTAATTGTTTCTGAGTTTTTTACAATTTGCCGTTATAATTCAACAGTATACCTAAGTAACAAAATTCATCAACAAAGTCAATAACATTATCATCAAAGTACCACTTTTCTTCTACCCTCACATTGCCACCATTTCTAAATACCATAATTTTTGTTTTAGCATTGTTTACATTGAATTATGGCAGACAGTAAACAACAACAGACAGCAACATAAACAACATGTTTTCTTCTATAGTTCATTAAATGATGAAAATGAGGTAAAGGTCACTGTTACTTGTTAAATGGCATGAACATCTTACGGTAAAATTAAAGACGAAATATATTTTTTTGTATATTGTCTTATAGAAAACTTCAGCACAACCAACTAAACACAAACATAAAGGAGTCAATGATCAACTGCTGGAATTATGGTTAAAGTTATGTAATATCGGTCAGACTGATACTACCAATCAATTACACAATAAGAACTTGGTGTTAGAGGTCTAGTATAGGAAGGATCTGTCAGTACATGATTTATTTCTAACAATGTACATAGCCTAATATATTGATCCTAACATTGTAACGCAATTGTATACAAACAGTATGTGATGAAATGCAGGTCAATTCATGATGTTCAACATACAACTGTTACCCAAACCTGTCTCATTTAATTCAGCTGAAATTATTCAGCTGAGTTTGACTGTCCCTCTGGTATCTTTCGTTCCTCTTTTACAAGCATATATGCAGGACAATACCAAATTAATGAGATAAAAACCAAAATCCTTATTTTATTGGAATAATTTACTGACTTAACATTGAGAACATTTTCTTAAGCAGTGATTGAGTGAAATATTGTTACCTGCCATCTGATATACTGTCATAACCCATAAACACTGTATAACATTTTATCATATTGAAGGAGTGAAGAATCAGTATTTTGTATGAAATGCTTATGATTAAAAAAATATATGACATTCTGTGAGTTTAAGCTAAAGTGCACATATTGTAAAATTTAGTTTTGTAACCCGGATTTGATTTATGACTTTTGAACAGCGATATACTACTGTTGCCTTTATTTACAGCGTGTTACTAAATTACAATATTTTCATGAACTGATTTGAATAGTTGACACTAGTGGATCAGGAACTGCTGCTCCTTATGAAGCACCTGAGTTCACTCCCAGTTTTTGTTGGGATTCATTTTGCTCAATCTCTAGTTTTTCTGTTTGGTTTTGTGAACTGTTTGTCTTTTTTAATTTGTCTTTTATCCATACTGTCTGGTTTTTTTTCTAGAACATAAGGTTTTTCATTGCCCTTTGGTATAATACCCTTTTTACAGTGAAAAACAAATTATTCAAAACATAACAAAAAATACTTCTTCACAAAAACAACAATTCCAAAGTCAAATTGGCTAAACGTCAATCCATGATTTGCACTAAAATAAAGCGATGTCAATGTAACAGCATACTAAACATCAATGAATGGTTAAAGAACTTCTTTAAAATCTTATTCCATATGAACACTTTGCAATAGATTTATGAAAAAATATCAAATTCAATATAGCACCACTAAGCGGGCATGTTCTGATTTTGTGTCATGGAATGATACCCCATATCCTTTGTTTTTTTATCATTTACAGAGGCTAATGCTACAGCATACCAAATATCTATGGTCTAGTTCTGTATAAACACTACTTTTTTTCAAAGTCAATGAAGTATGACGAGGAATAGAAGCTAATATATTGCTTGAAAGTGAAATGAAATGAGGTACTAATGCAACAATACACCAGAATTTAGTGGTCTAGTATAAACTAAAAATATAATCATAAAACCACAACCCAAAGGGTAGCGGACGGTATATAAGTTGGTCCTAGTGTCCAACCTAATCAGAAAACCTGATATGCACTGAATTTTGATTGGAGCGTCACTGAAGAGTCTTTTGTAGACAAAACGCGCGTCTGGCGCAAATACAAAATTTCAATCCTCGTATCTATGATGAGTTTATCTAGAACCTCATTTATTTTCAACCTTTTTTCTAAGAAGCATGTGTGCTGATGAAGCTGCTTGATAAATGAATTAGGTATTGACAATTCACTTGGAAACTCAACATATACCCAAACTACACTTACTAAAGAGTTAATCCTGGATAATCATAGTGCTGTTCTATGTTCCTTTGTAATTTCGACCAAAGAAGAAGAACTGGACCTTCCATCACTGTATTGGATACCTAAACTACGTACTTGTCCTTACAAACAACGATATTTTGCTGGGTCTCCCAAGTGCGCCATGAAACCTCTATTTAAATTATTAACATCAATCTTATCAACAGTCAAAGCCGGGCTTCAAAGTTATTGTGAAACTACTCATTCCAGAGGTGGCGTGAATCAGATGAGGATACTCAAAAAGTCAATAGATCTTTTAGACTACAAACAATCTAAACTCTTTCATCTTGCAAAAGTATTAAAACAGTTGACTACACTTTACACAAGTATTCCCAATTCCAAACTAAAAGACAAATTGAAAGAGTTGGTCCTTCTTTGTTTCATAAAAAAGAATGTCCAACGTAGATACAAGTATCTTGTCTTAGGGAGGGATAAATCCTACTTTGTAAAAAATAACTCTGATTCAAACAATAAATTTCTGAAACTGACATTTTCAAGATACTTAATTTTTTTATTGTCAACATATTTGTAACGTTTGGAGAACGTGTTTTTCAACAAACAATTAGCATTCCCAATGGAAAAACTGCCCCCCTTTTCTTGCCGACTTGTTCCTTTATTCATATGAGGCTGATTTCATACAGGAACTTCTTAGGAAGAAAGAATAGAAGTTAGCAGTATCCTTTAACTTTACTTTCTGCTATATAGATGATGTTCTCTCATTTAATAATTCTAAATTTGGTGACTATGTTGAACGCATCTATCCCATCGAACTTGAGATAAAGGATACAACAGATACAGTTAAGTCTGCCTCATATCTTGACTTACATCTAGAAATTGACAATGAGGGTCGGTTGAAAACAAAACTTTACGACAAAAGAGATTATTTCAGCTTCCCAATTGTGGTAGCAATACACAGTTAGGAAAAAAACTTAAAATTGACACTCATAATTTTAAACCACCCTCTTTCTCTTGCTTTCTAACAAATAAGGTTTTTTGTTTGTGTTATGCATGTGCATATATATGGAAACAGCATCTTCCATAGATTTGATTTCCAATAGTTATAATGGTGAAAAATAATCTCTTTTTGGTGTAACAATGGCAACAATCTGCATTTATTTGATACAAAATATTGCAAACAGGAGGATAAAAATGTCACAAAAATCCCCAAAATTTGGTCCAAAGTTGGATTTTAATCTATTAGAGTGATACCTTTCCTGAAACCATAGACATCCAGTTTTTGGTGCGGTTCGTGTTGTTGTTGTACCCCTATTTGTGACATTTTGTTCACGCATCATTGTCAATATAATAAAATTTGATGCGACTGTCGTACAAGTGAGAGGTTTAGCGCTATAAAACCAGATTCAATCCACCATTTTCTACATAAGAAAATGCCTGTACCAAGTCAGGAATATGACAGTTGTTGTCCATTCGTTTGATGTGTTTGTGCTTTTGATTTTGCCATTTGATTAGGGACTTTCCGTTTTGACTTTTCCTCGGAGTTCAATATTTTTGTGATTTAACTTTTTATCTATCAAGATGTCCAAAAAAAAATCATATGCATTTCTGCTCATTTTTCCATAAAATTGAATTGATTAGTTCGAGGGTCAAATTTCTTGACCTATGGGCGGTACGGATGTGAAAAATACGGACTGTCAAACAGAAAAATGGCCTATAAAACATGCAAAAAACAATCTTGATGTTCATATAAACCCACTTAGAAGGCTATATTATTCCTCAGCTGTCTAAAAATCAATTTTATTGTACAAAAAGTTTTATATTTAAAAAATTCACCATG